GATGTACCGAGCCTAATGCATGCAATACAAATGCATGTATGCACGCATGCATAGCATAAGGTAAGCTAATTTTAAAAATGCCCTAGTCTACCATCATAAGCAGGTAAATAAAAGGGAAGAAAGACGTGAGGTCGGAAGACATACACACACTCACGCACACTTATTACATAATTGCCCTCACTCGGAGGAACCAAATAAAATATTACAGTCCGAATGATAAGCAAATAAAATTATTACAGAATTTCTAATTAGTTAATAGAAAGAATGCAAAAGAGAGAAGAGGATGGCCGCAGCCTCTGCCTCGGGACGCGCGAATGATGCATGCTCGGAACCCGGCTTGCCTGAAAGATCCGTACCATACCTCTGCTACCTCTGTTTACACTGCCCTGTCTCTCTGAAAAATGCCAAAGCCTTAGGACAGGTTCCTTGCATGCTGCAGAGTACCACCGGCTAGGGGGAATCCCCACCGGCAGTCCAGGATTTCCATCGGCTGTCCTTGGATTTATCGGCTGTTCAAAGATTGCCGGTCGGCACTTAATTCTGCCGGTCGGCAGAAGCTTCCTGCAGAAGACAGTTTTGACAGCAACAGAGAACAGACAGTATACGGTATGGGATTTTCAGGCACATGTGAGCATGATCATGCTTCCCCTCATGCTTTGAACTCAGGGAAGCATGGCCCTCGATCCTCGAGCCATCAATGGTGCATGATAGCCCAAGGGATCAAGTTTGCCACTTGATATAAAGATGCATGCGACACACAAATGAGGGCCAAGGCCTTATCATGTCGGAGTCAAAGGCCTCGGTGACCGAGAGTTAAGGCACGTTTCATCACTCATGGTATGAACGCCCCTTAACACTCACACTTGGTTTGACACCCCAAACCAAGTAATGCAATGCATGTCATGCAAACAATGTTCAAAATGCAACATGACAACAAGATGCAAGGCATGCCAAGGGTCATGCAACTAGTATGACAAGCATGCAATGTTAGGCATACAAGATGCAAATGCAATGTAAGTATGGACACTTTAAGTAATAGGATGAACATGCTACAACACCTAATGAAGCAACCATGCAACAAACATGAAACAAGCATGCAACGGTGGCTTAAAATGGTAAAGGGGCAGACCTTCACCCACCTCAAAACAGTGGCCAAAAGTGTCCAAAAGGTGGACCAATGCTCATGCCAACAAGCAAACCAAAGGTCCTAAGGTTAAGGCACAAAAAAAGGCATTTCACTCCCACCCACATGACTACTCATGGCATGATTAAGACAAGTAAAAACAGAATTTTTTACAGGCAAAATAGGACTCCAAACCCTCCTAATATGGCAGCTAAAGTGGCTCCAAAGAGGTGTGTGCACCAAGGCTCATATCTAGGCATAAAAGGGCACACCCTCAAGGCATGGAAGAGGTCACAAATGCAAGCATACAAGCATGATTTATGGACTGAAATGGGGTCCTCAATGATGCCAAATCATGAGGATGACCATAGTTATGCATGCTAGAGGTCAAAATGCTCAAAGCTTACAAGCCAAAACATAAAGAGACGACATCAAACTATGCAAGCATGGCTGAAATGAAGGGCCAACAGACCTTAAACATGGTAAGACAATGGCAAAACCTTCATGAAACTAAGCCTACACATGCAAGAATCATGGCCTAAACACAAGGTGCTTTTCTATGCCAAAAGGAGCAATACAAAGCAAGTACTTTAAGCATGCGAAAGGATATAAATCCGACCAAAAACAGAGATTACATATGACCTAAAAACACTTAAAAAGTTCTGAAATAAGGCAAAAATCAAGCAAGCATGCATGTTACCCTTTAAGCCAAAATGCAAGGAGATAAGACAATGAAGGGAGAGGGGTGTCCCTCCCTTATGCAAGACTTCCAACCACCTTCCTTATTACTGAAAATCAACTGGTTTTTAGTGGTGAAAAGACCAACACACTCAAGCAAACAAGGCCTCACAAGGGAAGCACAAAAAGGGCCAAATAAAGCCTAATAAGGTGAGTTGGCACTCAAACCACAAAACAACCTTAATGAAAGTTCTAAAGCATGAAAATGTAAGCCTTTTTTATGTTATGCACAAAGGCTAAATCAGTAAGCAAGATAGGTAAAAAACTATTGCAAGTTTGGGGAATCTAAAGTAAAGTGCTCACCCTTGAAGATCCTTTGAAGAACAAATGGTCCAGTCCTCTTCTTTTGATCAAAATCAGTCCAAAAACTCAAGAATCAACCCCCCAAGTCCCTCAATCTCAGAGCTAGGTGTAATAATGTGTGTATTAGTGCAAAAGTAAGGTAAAAGTACACTTTTAGGCAAAAAAAACACACACAAGGGAGGAGAGAGAGGGAGATATAGATATAGGGTGTATCTATCTATGGAAGCTCTGGTTTTTGCCTTCAAACTTTTCTAACCTAGAGCCAAGAGGAGAGCCTTCCTCTTATAGAACTCCCTCTTGCAAAGCTTATACAACAAGTTTGCTTAGAGGGAGATCCCTCCATACACGTGTATGGAGGGAGGCAGAGTTGGTGCCAGCTATCACAGCTGGCACAAAATATCTACATAAAGTAGATGAATAGTGGTCGGCTGTCCAAAAATGTCATTTTGACAAAAAAGAGTGCTGACCGGCAACAAAAAGTGCCGATCGGCAGAAAAGATTGCCGATGGAAGCAAAAACCAGCCGGTGACCCCTAGCCACTGCCGGTGGTGTGTGGGGATGTCTCACAAGGCATTCCCTCCCCTTCCAAGGCAAAACACAAGTGTTTGGTGTGAAACCAGACACTAAACAGTCAAGTTCGGAGATCCTGAGGCAAGGCGCGTAGCCGAGACCTCCGGGAACTCCAAACGAACACAAACATGGATAATCACCGAGTGTTCAAACGGTGACGTCCAAGTCTTGAGGACGGTCAAAAATGGGGTGTCTACATAAGTTTACCATAAAATCATATTAATTCTAATTAACACAAAACACTAATCAGTTCCAGATTCGGCCGCCGATAAGGCCTTCAATTTACAGTTCGAAACTTAAAACATGAACAGATAAATCAATGACAAACAGATAGAAATGCATTCAACATAACACATTCATGCAATCAGTTTAGGATTTCATCCTAATAAGTTACTTATCATGCTCAATCACAGTTTAGCAATAATCAGTGGTGAGGGTTGTCACAATAACCTATGAAATTTTGAGATGCATCACAAATCTCTGTTTTACAAATGCATGTGTTTTCCCCTGTCTAAATTCAAATAAATGCATACAACTTTAAGATTCAACCAAAAATTATTCGCAGTGATTTGATTCATGATAGACAATTGTAAATATTATGTATATCAGTATAAAACAGACACAAAAAATAAGAAAGAATAATTATTTTTTATTCTTTAGTCATCATCAATTTAAAAAATAGGAAGACGACCTCCTTTATTTTTCTTTTCTTTTCTTTTTTTTGGATGAAAAGGGAGACAGTTTGTTTATATTTATATAAGACTCTAAGAAACAAATATATCTTTTTTGAGTGTTCAACTCCAAAAATAAGGAAATAGTTGATTTATATAGGACTCTCTTCATGACTTTTAGAAAATATAGTAAATTTGATAAGGTAAAATTGAGATCTAAAAAAAGTAAAAAATATGACAAGTTCTTCACACTTTTATAATAGTAGTAAATTTTTACTTTGCTGATAAAAAAATTAAATTTTACATGTTTTAAGAGTATTTAGATTAAGTGAATTTAATGAGTAAAAAATATTGATTAAAATATTTAAAATTTTCGCTAAAACTAAAAAAATGCAAATTGAAAATCTAAAAAATATTTTTAAAAACTCTAAAACCAAACATTAATTTTACGATGTTGATAATATTATTTTTTAAATAAATTCATAATTTATGAGTATTGTGTTTTGTTTTAAATGAAAAATCCACTTAAAAATTATATTATTTTGTATAAAAAAATTTTATTTATGCATCATTACTTTTTGTGTCTTTTAGACCATTTCTAATGTTACATGAGATGTTTTGTCAAATTCAAATGTGATGAAAAACAGAAGAAATATCAGGTCTAACGTTGTCATCAACCTGATATCAGATGGAGGGGGAACTAAATATTTCATCAAATGAAGACAGTGTTTATCATTCATCAAATTTGTAGATAACTGTTAGGCCAAACATCCTCCCAGATGTCCTTCCAGACAACCGGGCTTTCTTTATCTAAACCCAATTTCTGCCCATGCCCAAACATCTTCCCAGACAATCAGGCATTTGATGAAAATTTTGAATTTAACGTTGGAGTGCACCGTATCAAACCAAACTTTTTATCAAATTTCTACTTAAATTTAATAAATTTTTTGATACAACGTTAAAGATACTCTTAGATATTTAAAGGTGTAGCGTGTAACATCTTGTTCTTGTGATTTAACGATGGCCTCCACTAGCTTTTTCAATGTGTTTCATTATCAAGAAAAGAAAATTGTATTATCGATATTTTTAGAAATTTAAGTGCACAAAATTGTGAGCTCTATATTAAAAAAAATATACATCTAAAATTGTGAATTGTGTTGTTTTGAATCATTCAAAATTTATGTTTTGTACACATTTTGATAGTGTAATAAAATTTATAATAAAACAAAGCATACTTGGTACACAGTTTATTGAGGTTACTTATAACATTTTATTTTAAGAATTTGTGCTTAAAATTTTGTTCAGATTTTGCTTACCATTTAAGAGGGGAAAATAATTTAAATATGTTAAAAAAATTAATATCGAGATAAGGGTTTTAAAAACACAATTTTATCAAATAATAGGATTTGAAAATTAAATTTAAAACTATTTCAATTTGAGAGTTTGGATTTGAGAATTCTATTTCAGAACAATTTGTCATACTCTTACTGCTAACATTACTATCCATTCAGTATTTCTTACCACTAAGAATATCCTGTTACCGCCAAGATAACTCATTTAGTGAAAAACTCACAACATGGATACTGTCACAGTACCATCCCAGAATTCATCCATAGCTCGAAGGTTCAACGTCTCAAAAAACTTGTTCGTGCTACACAAGTAAAGAACTAAAACAAAAAGCAAGAAACTTCCACCATTTTTCAAAAACAAGCAGTAACAAGTTATGGTAATTGAAATATCCATTCTCTGGTTTTCTTCGCTTGTTCAGAATAACGGGAATTTTCATTCTCTGAAGTACCACTACAATATGTTCATCAGTATTCCTACCCAAAAACAAAAAACAAAAAAGTCTTCAATTCCCTTCCAACAGCACAGCCTCTGCACATCTGTTTCAATAAATGATAAGTTAGATGGTTCACTACTCTTAACAAAAAACCAGTTTAGATCTTTCAAATGATTTTTTTTTTTTTTTTTCTTTCCCCTCTCAATTCTTCAAAAAAAAAGACCAATGCATCACATTTTGTATGGTTAAGCATCTCAACTTGTTATTGCATAACAATATTATTTATAATCAGAAGTATTCCATCATTTGACATTTCAGATGGCGCAAACCATAGTATTTGGCAAAAATAGATCCAAACTATATACCAATCAGATCATCTTCTAAAATGTACAATGATGAAAGGCAAGTTAAAAATAAATCTTGCAACTCAAATTCTTTCTAGTTGTACAGCCAAAATGATTATATCTTTCTCCAATGGTTTGAACACATAGAATTGGGTTTGAAGTTACACTAACAGTGTATGTGTAATAAGTATCAACTAGGATGAACTATCAATCTAATTGAAGTATGTTACATTACCAGCTCTAGTCCAAACATCTGTAAAATCACCATGCAACAGATGTTTTATGAATTTTTTCATCTTCATTTATTGTCTTTCTTTTTTTTTTTTTTTCCTTTAGAATGTGAGCTAACAACTAGGCTTCATGTGACTAAAATCTAAAGTAAAACCTGACTGGAAGCTGCTAATCCCTTTAAGTTGTGTTTGGGTCATAGATTTGGATAGAAATTTGAAGGGAAAAAAAAAAAGAAAAAAAACCTGAAATAATCTATATTCCATTCACATTTCTCTCATATTTTCCTTTCCCTTCTAAATTTTTTACCCAAATCTATTATCCAAACCTAAGTCACCTGAAGTACCCCACACTCCCACTCGGAATTCACAAAGCAGCAGATTTAAGGCCAATTCGTCAGAAATCCATATATTTGATTTCTTCAATTAGCAGATACACAAATTCGGTGCGTGAAGTACATAAAAATGGAGCAATGAAGGTTTAAACTCATAAAAAGAGGCACAAACCCTAAGCTATGTTAAACACATTTTAACCACTAGACCAATGTTTCTCTTTCAATACCATACTGCATGTTTTATTATTTACTGATACATTTTGCAATTTCTTTGTTTATATTTAATAAATGTATATTGAAAAGCATATTAAAATATATAACGCTCTTGCAGTGCTCTTGAACTTGTTAATTTTGAAAATTGTCGTTCTCGCACTCATTTAGCTTATTGAGAATACTGGTGTTGATATGTCAAGTTGCTACATGTCGGCTAACAATACAACAATAATAGATGGCAACTAAAACTAGAACTCTATACAGTTTGGGAGCTTTGTCTAATCCACTGGATGAAATTCTAGGCATTCACTGAAAATTGATGTCTCATATTAAAGCTGATTATATTCTCAACACATGGGAAACTTTCAAAAGCATATTGTTAACATGAGCACATATATTCCACCACCTGAATTAATCAAAGCAAATACTGTTAAGATAAGCCTAGATCAATTTTGATGGCAACAAATGATCTGTCAAAATTCCAAAAATGTAATATTGAGTATTCAATTGCCATGTCCTCATTCTTGTTGCCAATCAAGATAAATGGAGCATTAGTGAATGAAATAAAATTATTACTACAATCTCCAAGGGTTGGCCTAGTGGTGTAAGCTTGGGACTTGGAGTTTACTCCTCTCTAAATCTCAGGTGTTCGAATAATCTTCTGTGTACAATAAATAAATTGAAACTAAATCAAACAAATAAAATAAATAACGTACCGAATTTATTTTACTGAACCGAATGAATAATTAAAGACCAAGTCAAGTGTGAGACACTCTATCCTTTAGACAAATTTGCCCCGCTACGATGCTTACAGTTAAGTGGCATCTATCTTCTAGGATACAATGATCTTCACAAATTTGTAGTAGCACTCCAAACAAATTTGTCCGGCGAACTAGAACCTTATATTCTATACTCTCTTTAATTTTTCTAAAGACTAATGTAAAGAATTTATGCAAACAAATAAAATCTGAACAGCAAGAAAAAAAATATTTTTCAGACTGATATTGGATCCCCCAAACTGTTGGAATTAAATTGGTATTTATAGGCAAAAATTCTATCCGAACAGGTGCTAATTTGAAATAAACAGATGCACATTTAAATTGGACAGGTGCAAGCACTATTCAAACAGATAATTGCTGGAATAGTTGATCTGTTTGAACTGTATGAACCTGTTTGAACTAGGCAGATAATCCGTATAGCTGTAGCAGTTTAGAGCAGTTAATCAGTTAGATATTTCGAACAAAAAAAGGCAAGATATGGACAGAAAATTAAATTCAATTTTGCCACAAACTTTGAATTTAAATTCATAAAGAATTTTTGGAAAAAAAATTCAAATAAATTTTGTCCAAAAAGTTAATATAAGAACCGACCCGACCCACAACACACATCTGCGCCCGGCATGGCTCGGCCGGACAGACGGTGGCGGCGTGCGCGCGTGTGGTAGTTTGGGCTAAGGTTTATTTTGTCCATAACTCCTTCTTTCTACAAACTTGGGGTGCCCCTTGGGACCCAACCCAAGTATTGTACTCTAGAACTTATATACGTACACAAGCTCTCTTAAAGTTTTAATGTGGGACAACCCATTTCAAGGAAACCCACATTTAATTCTTTAAATGTCCAATTTCACAAATCCGAAAACGACGTCAACTTCCCATTCACTCATAAATGGTTTTGACGAACCGTTTTCACAGTATAACTTACCACGCGACAAGGAACACGTTACCTTTTCGGACCCGCCCCAAAAAACGTTTGGGGCCCACTCAATTTTGGGCTCAAAGATGGCCCAAAATAAGCCTTATAAAACCAATTTTTCCAACAATCCCCCACATGAATAGAATTTGACGGAGAGAAAATGCAACATGATCTAATTATAGAGAGTACAGAAATTAGAAATATTCTGCAAAGGATAAGTAGCTTTTGGCTTTGAACCTTCCCTTGTAAAACACTATCGGATTTACTAACTAACTAGTGAATATGATGTCTTGAACTGTTCAGCCATTTGTATAAACCAAGACAATAAAACTCATACAGTATATATCCCCAGACACAATTTAGTTCTCACTATTTTGTTCATTTTGACCCTGAACAACCTGGTCTTTCATGAGTACTCTAAAGACTTATAGCCCTTCACAAATCTCATAGAACCGGCCTAATTTACACTCACATAGGTGATTCTTATGAAGCGTATCCTACCATACTCCATTAAGTTTACCTAGATATAAGAATCATTAAAAGTATTACTTAACCTAAAACGCTGCAGACATCACTATTTCATCATAGAAATGGGTAGGAGTTTGACTCCCCAGTGATCCTTCTGAGTTATATACAACTCGGTTGTCCCTTTAAACCTAGATCTTGGGGATCTCCAGTCAACTAGGTTGAGTTACCATTGTGGTAACTCTTATTTAATAGGTTTAAGTCTCATTCCCCTCGATGAATTCTTAACTAACTCTCTTGCTAACCCATTGGTTAATGGATCCGCTATTATCTTTAGACTTCACACATTCAATAGAAATAATTCCATTAAAGAGTAGTTGTCGTACAGTGTTATGTCGATGACGAATGTGTCATGACTTACCGTTATACATATGACTTTGTGCTTTACTTATTGCTGATTGACTATCGCAATGTATGCATATAACAAGCACCAATTTTGGGCACATTGGAATATCTTCAAGGAAGTGACGAAGCCATTCTGCCTCTTCCCCTGCTTTGTCTAAAGTTATGAATTCTGATTCCATAGTAAACCTAGCTATGCAAGTCTGTTTAGAAGATTTCCAAGATACAATCGCTCAACCAAAAGTAAAGACATACCCACTGGTGGACTTTGAGTCTCTAGTAATCGATATCCACTTTGTATCACAGTAACCTTCAAGTACTGCTGGATATCTAATATAATTCAGTCAAATGTTACGAGTAAATCGGAAATATCTTAGAACCCTTATAATTGCTTTCCAGTGTTCTACTCCTGGATTACTCGTATATCTACTTAATTTACTTACTGCATAAGCAATATCCAGGCGAGTGCAGTTCATCAAGTACATTAAACTTCTAATAATTTGGACATACTCTGATTGAGAAATACTTTTATGTACATTCTTAGATAGAAACAAATTAACATCTATAGGTGTTCTAGCAAAATGATCATCATCTTTGCTAAATTTGTCAAGTATTTTCTCAATGTAATGAGATTGTGACAAAACATAACCTTCTAATGTTTTGATAATTTTCATACCAAAAATTACATCAACAATACCTATGTCCTTCATGTCAAAATGTTTATTCAACACTTTCTTAATAATTTTAATCATATCATTATTACTACCTATGATGAGCATATCATCTACATAAAGATATACAATGACATAGCATTTGTCTGTGTTTTTAATATAAACACATTTGTTACACTCATTAATTTTAAATCCATTTGACATCATTGCCTTGTCAAATTTCTCATGCCATTACTTTGGCACTTGTTTTAAATCATATAATGATTTAATCAATTTACACACATTCTATTTTTTTCCTGGAACAAAAAAACCTTCTGGTTGTTTCATGTAAATTTCCATCTAAGAAAGCGATTTTCACATCCATTTGATGAATTTCTAGATTGTACAAAGACACAATAGCAATTAGCATTCTAATAGATGTTATTTTAGTAACCGGTGAGTATGTGTCAAACTAATCTAGACCACAGTTCAAAAAAAGTAATCTAGACCTTCTTTCTATGTAAATCCTTTGACCATAAGTCTTATCTTGTATTTGTCAATTGATTCATCTGCTTTCATTTTTCTTTTGAAAATCCACTTGTACCCAAGACGTTTACAACGTGGTAGTAAGTCCACTAATTCCCATGTGTAATTTTGCAAGATGAATTCAACTTCACTATTGACAACTTTTTTCTATAAAAGAGCCTCAAGACTGAACATAGCTTCTTTAAAATTAAAGGCTCATTCTCTAACAAAAAAGTTAGAAAATCTGAACCAAAAGATTTTGAAATTCTAGCACTTTTACTACGCCTAGGTTCCTCTACATCAATTTGATCTTGCTCTTGTTCTTGATCTTGTTCTTAATCATTACTAGTAATAGTATCAAAAGATCTTTTCTTATTACTAGTTTCTTGTCCAATCTTATTCGAAAACACATGTTCAAAGAAAGATACATTCCAAGATTCAATTAGATATTTCAGACAAAAAAAGACAAAATATGGACAGAAAATTAAATTCAATTTTGGCACAAACTTTAAATTTAATTTCATTAAGAATTTTTGGAAAAACTTTTGTCCAAAAAGTTAATATAAGAACCGACCCGACCCACAATCACACTCGGCACTGCTCAACCCGACTAGACGACGGCGCACGTGTGGTGGTTTGGACTAAGGTTCATTTTGTCCATAACTCCTCCTTTCTACAAATTTGGGATGCCCCTTGGAGCCCGACCCGAGTATTGTAATCTAGAGCTTATATACATACACAACCTCTCTTAAAGTTTCAATGTAGGACAACCCATTTAAAAAAAACCCACATTTATTTCTTTAAATTTCCAATTCTACGAACCCGAAAACGACGAATAGTAGCGAGGTACTATAGCACTCGTAAATTAGCGATAAATAGCAACGAGGTTGATGCACGTCCATTTTTTATGAACAGTATCACTAATTTAGCTAAAAAACGATTTTAACTATATTGATGTGGATGCTCTTAGTGGAGCCAAAACAATATAATAGCCACCCAAGCTCTCAATTGTAAATCAAAAGCTACGTAACAGTTAGATCATCTGAATTTTTACCTTCAACCTTTTGTCCTTTGGCAACTTATCAAAGAAAAGATAAGTATTCTCCTTTGGCAACATCACGGAGGGAAACCAAGCTCGGAATATGAGCAGCCCCATAAAATTCTGATTTGATCCAATAAATACTTAGCTTCTTAAACCCACCTAGCTTAGGATCATACAGCACAAGACCATCCTTGTTGTAAAGCATCAAAATTTCCCCAGTCTTTAGAACCATAATTGGCTCATAATAGTCAAAACCTCCCTTCTTATTATTAACCACATTTCCAATAACGAACTCTTTGCTCCAAGACTCCTCATTGCCATACTCTTTCATCATCCATATATCAATACCACAATGAATAGAAAATTCACAAATGGACAGACTATCCTGCAGCACACCGACACATTTATGCCCTCGAAACTCTCTATGCAGACCAAACTCAAGAGGTTGAGGAACAACCCGAAATTCCTCAGTCCCAAAATCAAAACAACGAATGAAGCCGGGACTATCATGGTTGAAATTAAGCCAATGAATAGCTCCATTCACAAAAGAATTGAACGAGTGGTTTGTCAAATGATAAGGTACCTTACCCATATTCCTCCACAACCCTTCTCCACCAATTGTGTAAATCTCAGCCTCTGCCTCCTCACGGTAAGAACCCATCTGAGTATTGTAGTCAATATAAACAACCTCTTGGAGAAAAAACCGAACCACCTTGTACTGATTAGTCTTGAGACTAAACCCAAAAGCAGTCATAGTAGCATCATAATTTCCACGGTGATGTAAGATGGGTAAAGTAATGTACTCACCCAGAATCGGATTGCATATGAAAATGGGGTCAGAATCGTCAGTGAAATCAGATAAGCAGAGCAACCCGTTACAGGAATTGACGATTTCGTCTTCTTTGAGAAGTGGGTAGTTGAATTTGGGGATGAATTTCAACTGGGCATCGCGGGGGTGAGTGGAATGAGCGATCTGGAGGTCGACCAAGCGAAGTTGTCTCGATTCGCGACGGGGGTAGAAAGGTTTGAGCAAGAGGCTGACAGGTGATCTGGAGAGGTGGAGATTAGCGAAGTGAGGGTCTGAGATTAGAGAAAGCCAGTGCTTGGAAACGAGTTGACAAAGGAAGAGGGTTTTGATGGGGAGTCTTGATAGGATTTCGAGGATGATTTGGGTTGGAAGTTGTTCTAGGGTGGAGTGTTTGCTTTTCTTGGTGGTGGGTATGATCTGATTCGTCATCTTTGCTGCTGATGATTCAAGCCTCTGATGATGGGGGTGTTTGGTGCAGCTTTTTTAAGGAATTTACAGAAACATTTGGGGGGTTTGTTTTTGGAGGGAACTGAAAGCAAAAAGTCCCGCCGAAATACCATTGATTTAGGATGTGGGTGGATTTTTTGATTTTTTAAATTATTTTAATTTAGGTTAAAAAGTCTTTTTGGTGTAAATTTTGATATTTTTAATTTTTGTGAGAGATAAAAATAAAATAATTAAAATTTATATATGAAATTTTATCTTATTAACTTTTTAACTTATTTTGAATTATTTTGAGAGCTAAAAATTAATTTTTTAACTTTTTTTAAAAATATATATATAAAAAAGTAGAATGATATTGCTTTTTTTATTTTTTAGAAAATACTTTTCAGAAAATTTTACGTTCTTATTTTCTGTGTTTTTTTATTTTTACTGAATTTTTTTAATATTTTAAGCAATTTTTTTACTTTTTAGAGACACCTAACATAAATACACTTAAAAAGTAAAAAAATTGTAAATTTTTTTTTAAAAAATTCACTAAATACCAAAAAGACAAAAAAAAAATACAAGAATTCAGTACATTTTTTGTATTCTTATATATTTATTAATTTTTTAAAATATTTTTTCACAAATTTTTTACTTTTTAGATACATCTAACTAAGGTGCATCTAAAAAAGTAAAAAATATGTTTAAAATTTAAAAAATATTCACTAAAAACAAAAGAATACGAAAATCAAAAAATTCAGTTTTCAAAAAACTTAATCCAAAAAACTCAAACCAAACACACTGATATAAACCCAAATAAATTTTTTTAAAAAAAAAAAAAAAGAGTTAACTTTTTGAGTTTTAGCTAAATTCTCCAACCATTGCAGCCAAACGAATGCCTAGAGAAATTATTCAATGCGTATGGATAGTCTAGTAGTGCTCAAAATGAAGAGTTACTTGCTTAAATCATGGACACATCACTTTTAGACCCCGTTTGTTTGGGGTTATGGGGAGGTAATTGGGTTTGATAGTGAGGAGCGGATTGAGAATTGAGTATTTGTTTTGAGAGATAGGAAGGGGATTAGTAATCTCTTGGTATTAGTAAGGAGGAGGAAGGGGGATTGGTAATGAGGAGGTAGAGATGGTATTAGAAAAATAGTGAGGGGATTAGAAATTTTTTAATTTTTTAATTTTTTATATATTGGGAATTTTTTTTTAAAATATAATGTTTATTTTTTTATATTTTTTTATTTGTTTTATTATTTTATATAAAAATAATTCAACAATTCCTCATTATCAATCTCTTACTATCAATCCCCTCACTATCAATCCCCTCACTATCAATCCCCTCCATTCTATCACCCAAAACAAACGGGGCCTTATTGGTGTTTGGGAGGAAGTTTTTTTTTTCCATTAAACTAACATTAAAAGATAAAATAGATTAAAATAGTCAATAAAATAAAATGCCATATCAAAATCCATAATCATTTTATTTTTTCTCTCACAAACATTACATCCAACTATAAAAAAATCTAACTATCTTCTCAAACACAAATATTTTAGTCTCATAAAATAGCCTACTAAAATAGATACTTTCCAAACACCCAAGTTAGCATTTTAAGAGATTTGTTTGGCATGTTATGTTTGGGCTAAAATAGTCACAAAAAATAAATTTTTTAACCTAATAAGACAAAACATTTTATTTTAACCATAATTATTTCATTTGTTCTCTCACAAAAATTAAAAAAGCCAATTTAGTCTCAGGCTAAAATAGTAAAAAAGTCAAAAAGTCAACCTACATCTCAAAAGAAGGCAAAGTATTGTCTATTAACCTGTAAATGATATAGAACATCAATTTTTCCATTGATGGTAGGGACTGTAACTGGAACCGGAAAGTTTGAGAAATATTTATTCAAAATTATTTCAAATTTATGTTTAAGGGTTCTTTTTTTAAAATTAAAAAAAAAAAATTATTCATAAATCCCATATGAGAAAATATCGATGCATTAGTTTAAGTGTTTTTTTTTATGAAACAATTAATCATTTTTGTTTTGAAAAGTTATATTTATTTGATTTGATGTCATTTGAGTTTAAGTGAATACTCTTTTATAATTCATTTTTCTAATTTTTTTATTCATTTTTGGGATGGAAATGGAAACGTAAAGTGTGGAAGTTTCTTTTTAGGGAAGATTGGTGGTTGAAGTTTTGATTGTCGAGCATAGAAATTTACATTTTTATTAGTGTGATTTTCTAGTATTACATTAGAATACTACGCTTGAAAAAAATACACTAAAGAGTTTTTGTGTGTTACATTAATTAGAATGTTAAGTTTGAAAAAAATACACTGGAGTTTTTTAGTGTGTTACATTGGACTATTACGTTTAGAGAAAGTACACTAAGGAGTTTTTGTATATTACATTAATTGAAGGGTTATGGTTGGAAAAAAAATTCACTAATGAGTTTTTTTAGAGTGTTACATTAGAGTGTTACGTTTATGCTTGGTTTGGGATAACCTAAAAAAGCTAAAAAGTCCATACTATTTGGAGAAGCTTGTAGGGGAAGCTTATAATTTTGCCCTTTGAATTTAGCTATCCGAAAGTCAAAAAGTTAAAAGTCAAAAAGTCAATTAGGGTAGAATGGTCATTTTGATTTTATTACAATATTTTATTACACATCTCACTACAACATTTTCTTAGTTTAGTGACATTTGAAAGTGTCACAAAACTATTCTTCTAATGACATTTTTTGGTCTTGTGGCATTTTGAACAAGTGTCACTTCTTAGTTTACCTTTTTTTCTCTACTTTTTAGCCAAAAAGTCAAAAAATACACTTATATAGCACATTAGTATTATGCTTGGAAAAAGAACACTAAGAAATGCTTGTAGAATGATACCTTATTACGTTTAAGATACATACACTAAGGATTTTTTTAATATGTTACATGGATTTGGGGTGGCTACTATGTGGGGTACACAACAACCACTGTTGTGTAGCTAAATGGGCCCATTTTGATAATTCGAGCCGTTACGTTTTAGAATATATCAAGTAGAATATACTTGCAAAAAATCAAGTTAATCAGATATAGTTTATCTTTTCATCCACTCACATTTGTATTCATTTTAATACTTTAAAGCACAATTATTATTATTTTTGTAAATACAAATGTTAGTAGATGAATAGGTAAACGATATCCGATTAACTTGATTTTTTGAAGATATGTTCTACTTGATATGTTCTAAAATGTAAATGGTTCAAATTATCAAAATAGGTCCTGAAATGGACCCATTAGGCTGTATAACAATGGCTGATGTGCATCTCGCACAACAGTCACCCCAAATCCGTGTTATATTGGAGTATTACGTTTTCGGAGTGTTATATTGGAGTATTACGTTCAGGAAAGTATACTAAAATTTTTTTTTTGAAGTGTTACATTTAATGTTTTCAAGATTATGAGAAAACTCATATTTGTCCCTCAATACATGACACAAGTGTTTATGGTTGGCCCTTTATGTAATTCACACTAAAATGAGACTTTTGGGTTCATAAGAAAAAATGGAAGATCAAACAGTTTATAAGATCACCTTTTGAAATTTATTGGTGCTTCTCCCTACTTTTTTTTTTTCATTTATTTTATTTTAGTGAATTTTTTTATAAATTTAAAAAAAAAAGACTTTAGGATTTTAGATTTTATAGATAAACTAAAAAAAAATAATCTTAAAAATAGTTTAAAATGGAAAAAATAAGTCTAAAATAATGGACTTTTTATTATTTTGGATTTTTTTTAATTTTTCAAAATAATTTTACATTTTAGGTTCGCCTATCCAAGATGGACTGGAAAATTAAAAAATTTTGGATATAATTTTGAAAAAAAAAATCACTAAAGCTAACAAATAAAAAAAATAATAAAAAAAAAGAGAAAAATATGTGATTTATTTGGAAGTTCCCCACTTTTGTATATATATATATATATTCTGTTTTTTAACAAGTTAAACTGTGATATGTTGGTTGTTTCATTTGTCACTTAAGATAATGTTATTTATACACCCCTCAAAAAAATGTGTATTATATGTGCTATTATTATGCAATTTTGTGATATATATATTACGTACTTTTATTATAAATGTTATGTATTTTTTCATAGATTTATGATAATTTGTGATTCAGAAATAAAATTATGCATTTTGTGAAAATATTAGACATTTTTGTGATAATATTACACATTTTTTGGTTAGAAAATGTTTGGATAAAAAAAATATATATCATTCCTACAAAAATATATAATATTATCACAAAATGTGTAACTCTATTTCTGAATCATAAATTGTCATAACTCTACAAAACAAATTACTTACTATTTACTATAAAAAATACATAATTGGTGCATATGGTTTACCTCTAGGGGTCATCAAGTGGCTCGTGGGTAAAAAATTCGGTATTACCCAACCTGTTCCATGGGTCATCCCAACCCGCTTGACTACCCAGTCCGTTCCATCCCATAAAAGATGATTTAGGATTTTGGACAAAGGTTTGAAACACCAACCCGCCCATGAACCCGGCCCGTACAAGCCCGCATGAGTAAATCCAAAGAAAATAACACTGTTAAATTTAATTTTAATCCATTGAAATCAGTACTATTCCATTAAAAAAAAAAACAACATTTGACAGCCCATATTATCTTTATAAATTGTATTTAAATAAATACAGAAAACATAATTTGTTAAAATTGAATTTGATAGTGATTGGTTATATCTTTTTAACTCTCAACTTTTTACATATAACATTGTCATAGTCATTGTCATAATTTGTTGATTTGGTGAATTTATACTTTAATTTAATTGTTTTAATAGTATTAATTAATTTGATCAAATGAATTATTAAAAAAGAAAAAATAAATGTGTAGAACTTAGTAATATAAGTCTAATAAAAAATGTGTAACTCAGTTTAGTTTGATTTTGACCTGTAAGATTTGGGTTTATGAATGAAACGTGATTTTAATTTTTTTAAATAAGTCTGGCCCGTACC